TGCTTTCAATAAGCAACATTTTAGAGCTAGGAGTTAGGCTTAGGGCAAGATATATATTTAATGATAAACATACAGTTTAATGTTTTCTTATTTTTTTTTAAAAAATCCACTTCTATTTGATCAACCAATACACAATTTGCCTTCAATCTCTAAGATGAGAACAATTAATGCAGATGGTAAAGGAAGCCAAAGCAATAAGTGATGTTTTTCAGGGAAATGGTTGTGAGTAGAGAAAGGATCTTATGATAGAAATTTGAAGAACATTTATGTCTAAGAGAAAGGCAGAGAAGCCTTCAAAAGTAAAAAAAAGACAAAGAGAGTTGACCACAAAACTAGGGGTCTATGCCACAGAAGCATAAAATGGAAGGCATTTCTCATAAAGAGAAAACATCAATATGCTGACAAACTATACAAAATGTTGGGTCATTTAAAACTTCTTGGGGGAAAGTCATTTGGACTGCTAAGGGAAAAGGATAAGCTCTCTGAAAGCCCTGTGAGTTCTAGAACTTGCACACAAGGTATCAACCTTCACATCTCCTACTGTTGTTGAAGCTAAGCTGCAGCTGTACAGAAAGAGCCTGGCAAGTGTACTTCAGGGAAAGAGGGGAAAGAAGGTTTTTCACTTGTTTGATTTTATCCAAAGACCTAATGAAGTTTTTATTTTTAAATAGAAGTGTAAGAGTAAGTTGATGTAAACTTTATTTATGATTTCTAGAAGGTGAGTTCAAATTCTAATCCAAGCTCCATGTTGCACATTTTTCTTATAAATACAATACAATAATTCTGGAAGCAAGTAATTGTGGTGATTCACTGTATTCCAAGACTCACAGTAACTCCTTCTTATCCTGAAAGACACTTTGGATCAACTCTTTCTAGAGCTTTGGTGTAAATCTGGCAATGTGATGTTGTAAAACAGTCTCGGGCGGGTCCAGAACTTTTTTTAAAAATCGAGTTTAACTATGAATAAGAATACAGAATATTTTAAGGCTAAAGAATCAAAACAAATGCAAATGGAGACTGAATCCTTATTTGGACTCTTAGCATCTCCCATCTGAAAACTTGTTAGTTCAAAGAGTAATAATTCTGTATATCAAAGCAATAATATATAACAAGTTTTGCTAAGAAAAACACATTGTATCTGTGGGTTACCCTGGTAAAGAGCAACTATATCTTTTTGCTTTATGACTAATTCCAATTTGCAAAGCAAAATACTGTGAGATATATATATATATATATATATATATATATATATATATATATATATAAATGTTTTACTTGTACTTAATCTTTATTGAAGTTTGGTTTTAAAAGGTACTATTAATGACTCAACCCAGAGAAATTTATAATGAATATTTTAAATAGTATATTACTTAAAATACAGCATTGGAAAATGTTATCAGAACAGTGGGTAAAGAATATGCAGTATTTATTTTGATTATTAATAGTTGGTGCTGTTCATCAATCAAATTAGAAGTATATAATGTTTAGGGATAAGCTATTTATTCTATGCTCCTACTTCAGAATAAAAAGGGAGGAAGAATAGTATGCCACAAAGTTTTCTTTGACATCTTTGTGACTAGAAGAATTAGAAATTAAGGGAGAGCCTGGTGTGGTGATGAACTATACCTATAATCCCAGCTACTTGGGAGATTGAGGCAGGAGGATCACAAGTTTAAAGCCAGCCTCAGCAACTTAGCAAGGCCCTAAGCAATTTAGCTAAACCCTGTCTCAAAATAAAATATAAAAGGGGCTGGGGATGTGGCTCAGTGGTTAAGCACCCTGAGTTCAATTCCCAGTACGGGAGGGAGGGAAGGGAGGGAGGGAGGGAAGGAAGGAAGGAAGGAAGGGAGGGAGGGAGGGAGGGAGGGAGGGAAGAAAGAAAGAGAAGAAAGAAAGAGAAGAAATTATGAGAAAAAGAATAATATAGGAGTAAATATCCACTAACATACAATACTATTTCCATCTAAAATAATCTAGAAAATCAAAGTCTGTATTGAAAAATAAGTAGTGTATCCAATGGGTTACTCCAGGTGAACTGAGTCAGCTGCTTATAATTTTAATGTTTTTCATAAAATTAATAAAGGAAATTGGCATTAATTCTTAAATATTAAGATAACTGGGAATGACTGATACAATATTAACTTAAATCTTACTTTCTCAGACTCCTTGACTAACATAATTAAGCACTTAAATATGATTTCTACTGCCAGCATTCTATAGTTAATAGTCAATTAATTATCCATTGATGTTAACTTTATCAACTTACAAAATATAGAAATAATCTGTTTGGGAAGACTGTTTCAAAGGCTAGAAATGGAGCACTGAACATATATACCCAACCATGTTTACCATTAGGACATGATATGTGCCGAGTATATTCATAGTTGTTAGAATTTAATTCCTTAGTAGCAGTTAATGTTTACTGACTCCTCTGTGGATTTAGATACTTATATCCAAATATTCACATCTCAGGATTTATAGAAATAATCAGTGCCAATTATCTTTGAAATTACCGACAAAAATTAATTAAAAAAAATCATTTGATAACACCGGTTCCCTGATTTTTAACCCTTATTCTGGTCTTGATCACTCATTACAAAATCCATTCATTTTATCTCTTGTTGATGCAAATTCCTTGATTATAATTCTCTATCACCTCAATAAACTATCTGTCCTGATAATTGCAAAGTTAGCAAAGTAAAGTATAGAAAACTTAAAAGTATAGAAAACTTAAGAAAAGCTAAAAAGGCATAGAGACCTGGGGAAGTTCCTCAGTTCTGTATATTGCTTAGCAGCAGTGCAACAAATGAGCAACTACAGACAGTAATTGTCTTAAACTAGGTCAATACAACAGCCCAAACACTTTGTAAACACTTTATTTGGCTCTTTCTGGAGATTAACACCGTTCTAATTAAATGCTGTAGCACAGAAGAGCTTAAGAACAACAAAAGTGGTCAACAATAGTTATTTATCTAACATCCTTTATCCAAGAATCTTAAAAATTAACCTAATTCTAATCAAACTCAGTAACTGGGAAAGGTAAGTACTAATGCAAACTGTAAAGGCCAAGAAGAGAAATTAGAAATGTGTTTCTGAATATCTCTGTGAGCTAGATTCTGCAATCATCTAGTTCTGAGTATATAAATGAAGTATTATTTGCCTTCAACAAACCTAAATTAGGCATAATAACACAGTATTAAAAGCATAATACTTCTTACTATATTTCATTTGTGTTTGTATTTATATTTTACTGATATTTGATTTACTGAAATTTGATTTTTAAAATACTGCAGTCAATTATCCGATCCAATTATTTAACACTGTGAAATTCAAATTTACAAAAGATTTCTTATTTTGAATATTTTATCTTAATATTATAAGTCTACAGTAGCACACACCAATCATTTTACTTATCTTTCCATTTGAAGGCAATGGTTTATGATAAACTATATATACCATCTTCCTTATGACCTACAGTAGACTGTGAGATGGACACGGAGCGAAGGTACAGTCTGTAGCCATGAAATCATTTTGTGCATGAGTAATTTAACAAACTTATAAAAAGATAAGACACACCCTTAGCCTCATTACCACCATCGTCCAACTATGCTAACTTGTTCAAACTCTTAAATGAGATAATGATAACTGAAGGAAAAAGAACAAAAAGGTTGTACTTCACCATCTTAAGGTTTCACAGGGAGGATGATGCAGGTTTATAATTCAATTCCTACATCCTAAAAAGTGACTTTTCAAGTCATAAAAGTATAGTAATCTGGAATTTTTATAATATAAAGGCTTAATAACCAATTACTACAACTGATATTCATTGTGAGGAATACATAGCTATATGAAATATAGCTTACACTCACAATAGAATTCAGCGAGGTAACCTTTTAAACATTTTTACAGGAAGAAAAATGCTAGAGATTCTTATCAGTAGTTACTAACTAGGTAAATGCTGAAGATCTGCATTCTTAAGATTACTGAAGAGGAATTCAATTTTATCTATGCTCAAATGTCTGTTAGGCTTATTAAAGATAAGATGGATGTATGAACCACCAGTAGTGTATTAAACCCAATCACTTTCAAGACAGGTTAGATATAGAGGTATCGAGATTTCGCGAATTTGGTTCATTGACAGTAAAAATGGAATTTAAAAAGAAAGACTGCATACAGTCTGCTGGCATTTTATACTAACCATTAGCAGAGGTAGTAATATAAAGTGTTGGAATTTAAAATACAAGGTCAGCATTAACTGTAAACAATTTGAAAGTATAAGTAACTCTTCAAAATAAGTAGTAAATAAAGAATCTGTCAGTATACTGATAAAGAATTAAAATTCATGTAAAATCAGAATTAAAAAAGCAAAAAAAATAGAAATATTTAGTGAATTTACTCAAATGAAGAAAGTTTACATGATACAGAAATGAAAAATATTAGAAATCTATATACAATAAAAAGTGAATATAAATTAGCCAACTCCATGAACATTTCCAGTTAAACATTAATACAAATACATATTCACCTTTTTCTTTACAGAGATAACACATACGTACATGACATGAACATTCTGGCCAAAAAAAAAAAAATCAGAGCTTCTAAAAACATTCTCAAGTTTCAAAACTAGTATGGAAAATGTTTCAACAACAGCATTCTACATGAATGTAAACCCCTGGTTTAATTAATTTCATGATTTTTATCATGCCAGAACTATGGTTGTTTTTAATTTTTTTTTTTTTGTACTGGGTATTGAACTCAGGAGTACTTTGTCATTGAGTTATATCTCCAGCCCTTTTTAATTACATATTTTGAGACAAGGTCTTCCAAAGTTGCTGAGGCTGGCTTTAAACTTGTGATCCTCTTGCCTCAGCTTTCCAAGTGGCTGAGATTACAGGCATGTACCCACCATGCCTGGTGGGTTTTTTTATTTTTAAAAAACAGATATTGGTATCATAACACATTGGCTTATTAATAATTAAGGCATTTATATACACAGTATCTCAGTGTGGACAAAACATTTTTAATATTGATTATTTACTATGATGTTTTAAACTTTGAAATTTATTCAACATAAGAAAATAGCTGCACACATTCAAGTGTTTTTTTATAAAACACAATAAAAAACTAATAATGATTGGTCTTTGTGGTTCCTAGTAATAAGTCCTGCCTTATTTTTTCACATAGTATAAATTATATTCTTATGCAGGACTGCATTAAGACCAGTAGTTCTTAAACAATGTTACCAGATAACCACATAAATCCCAAATGCAGCAAAGGCGAACAATCTTTGTAGTGCACTTTCACCTCATTGAAGTTGAAGCTGCTCCGTTTGGATATTTTTCCACTTCAATGTGAAGTAGATTGTTAGGTTTTCATTAGTGGTTTCATTACGTGGCTTTTTAAAAGAAAAAATGGTTTCAGTTTCTTCCACAGTTCATAGTTCTCAGAAGAGACTTATTTTTGGAAATCATATAATCCAGGATGTTTTGAATAACCAAATGCTCTTTAGTAGACGAAATATCTCAATGCAACTGTAATAAATAAGCATCTACATCCTTAGAGGATAAAACAAAAACATTTCATTAGCCAGCATGGTAAATACAAATATATAAAACCCATTTTCTCTTCACTTTTGTTGATTGATTTGCCTTAGTTTCTCTTTGTGGCCTGTAGAAGTTACAAGTCAAGTCTTATTTGATATTTTTAAATGCACTTGTTTAGCACAGGGCCTGGCACACAGCACACATTCAAGAAATGCCAGTTAAGTGCTGAGTGAATGTTTTGGTTCCTATGCTCAGACCACTCTGCTTTTGTGGTTAAAACTGATAGGAATTTGACCAGCGCTATGTAAACTCAAGGGCTAGAGCTTGATGATAGCCCTCTGTTTTCTACCTCCAAAAACTTACAAATTAATTGAAGGTTTAATTTGGTTTATTATTGGCCTTTTAATATACTAGCCATATTTCACTCAACAGTCTTCAATAATAAGCATAATACCTTGAGACTATGTTCACTATAAAACTTTTCCTATTGTAAAAAATTAAAATTTAAAGCAAATTTTTAAAGAAAGGATCATTTTTTTCAGTTGTACTGTCTAAAATGCAAGGCTTTCTAACAGAAGTGGATATGTATATTCTTTATGAAACAACAAAACTAAATTGATTTGTTTGTATTATCATTAAGAATTCTATAAAGTAAAATCACACAATGTGATAACACATTTGCTTAATGTCATTTTTTTTTCTGTTTCTGAATGTATCCAAGAAGAATCCATGATATAAATTCTCTTATTTAGACTGTTTTCTTAAACCAATGAATACATTTATAATTTTGGTTAATGCTCACTTATGATAGTAGTATGCCCCCAAACAATGTTTCTTTACAATAATTTCTTCTGTAATATAATTACCAATGATTTATGGAATTTAAATACTGAAATACAAACTGGCAACATACCTTTTCCTTTAAGAGACAAATCAATAAAGATCAATGTCAAATTCATTCTGTGATTTAAACCATTCACTTTTTTCAAAAAGGATGATATAAAAGCAAAGTAAAAATGAACAGTCCAAAACCATTTAATTGTACTCTTCATCTTTTATTTCCTGAGTGTCATTGTCTTTGGTTTGATGTTGTCTTTATCTGAATTTTTAACTTTTTTCAAATATTGCTGTCTGATTGGAACTAGATTATTAAATGCTGTCTGGCACAACATTTCTATGGTTATTTATGAAACATATTCAATGGCTAATTCCTGTTCTTACTGCCTAGGTCACTCATACATCCAGAGGACTTTAAGCATTTGCATATATGAGATTGATTTCAGAACTTCTTAGAATAGTACCAAATTATTTTACCTGAAGATCTGAATAGTTTGTTTATAAATGTACAACAGTATTATTTTTAATGTCTAACATTAAACTTAAATATAGATTACCTTAGCTATATTACCAGTATATCCTGGAACCAAAGTAAGATGGTTTTCTTGTTCCCACAAGCCACTTAATTGTTGTTTTAAAATCTGAATATTTCTAGGAGGAAAAAAGAGAAACAAATAGTGGGATATGAACTTTGACAGTAAACACAATCCAATGAAAAAAATTTTTAATGTTCAATTTTTACAAGGAGAAAACTACATTATTTAAAGTCAAGTAACTATTTAAAATAGGACATGTCAATCACAGAAATTCAAGGTTATTTAGCAGTCCAAGTAGATAAGAAAACAACTAAGAATTTACAGCATTTGGACAATCTGTTCTTGGGTATGAAATGGGAAATTTTGAGAGCTTATAGTGAAAATTATGGGTGTTAAGGAAATTAGGAAATTTTTGCAGCTTCATGACAATCTGGCTCATTTAGTCAATACCAACACATTTTTACAGTAAGGCAATACTCAAATTATGATTATAATATAGTTTTTACAATTGTAATCAACATCAGACTCCCAGGTTAATGTCTAGATAACCAAAGAACCCTGCAGAATTCCTCCATTCCTTATTCCCCTCCCCTACTCACAGAATGGATATGGGGGTTAAGCCACTGTTGTGCTTTTTCTTTCTAAAATGAAGGGTAGGTTCTGCTAGGAGGGATATAGGGGATTACTGGGCTCTGGAATTTAATTTCCATGTGTGATTTTCACAAATGAACAGTGTTAATATTTCTTTGAAAATGAAGAGAATAAATATTATACACTGATGATCATGGGATAAAATTACCACCTTGTTTAAAGTTGCTTTCCTGAAGAAAACTTAGCAAAAAATTATCTTTTTGTTATTTGTAGTGTTGGGGATTGAACCCAGGATGAATTTATCTTCAAAGTCATACTCACCCATCACTTATAATTTCTGTTTTGGATGATAGTTCTGACCACCACCTTTTTATTACAGCTTGAAGCCAGTTTAAACCAACTATCACATATCTGAAATGACATTATATTACAAAATTCGAGTGTTTTCATCCAAGAAGCCTTTATAAAGATTATACTGTCCCCCCAAACACACATACACACTGACCTTGCCCCTTTTAAAAATTTTCAGTACTTTTATGTCATATTTCATAAAACTATATTTTATGTAACTTGTTTATAGAAGCTTCTATAATTGTTCTTCAGTCATTTCACATTCTTTTCCTAATTTACTATATGCTCCTTGAAAACAGAAACCATGGATAGTCCATGGAGCCAAATCCACTACTATGTACTCACAACACACAAAATCAAGGATGTTGAAAGAGAAAACTGAATTAAAATTTAGATTAGCACTTACTCTTCAAATTTGCTTTTAAGTAATGACTTTACAAGAGGCAATAAGTCTACACAGCAGCCAAGTGAGATATATTGTTTTTCTTCCTGTAAACTAAAAGAAATCCTTAAGTTATGAAATTATAAATAGGCCACAAGTTGCCCTTCTTTAAGCTTACATTACTTTTTTTTTCCTAAAAAATACTAATTTTACCTATTAGTGAGTACAGGCAGGCAATCTACCACAACTCCAAGATCTTCTATCCTGGGGGTACAAAAAGGATAGCATTGCTTAGAGAGCCAAATTCCTTATTTACTTTCATATTATAATCATCATACTGGCTTTTAGAAATTCATTAACAAATAATCCCAGTGTCTATGATGAGTCAGATATTGAAATACAGCAGAAAACAAAGAGATAGGACTTGCATTCCACTTCTGTGTGTGTGTAGGAGGTAGGGGTGGGCTTGCAGAGATAATAAACAAACAAGTAGAATATACAAAGTTAGGTTGATGATAATAAATGCTATGGAGAAAAATAAAACAAGGAAGGAGACAGGGAATTAAGAAATAACTATTTTTAAATAAGATAATTGAGGAAGTCCTCAAAAAGGTAACATTTGAGAGACCTGAATAAAATGAAGGTAATATACAGAAGGTTTTCTGTATTCTGATTACTCTTAGACTGGTGATGAATGTAATTTAAACCATACTGTCTCTATGGAAACTAAACATAGAAGTTTTTAGCTGATAAAAGCATAAAAAAACAAGAGGCATTTCTAATATCACATTGAAAATTACTTGTACTGAACTAAGAGCATAAAGGGCACACTTACCTCACCAAATAAGCTACAAGTTCACTTATACTTCTCTTTCTCCAGAAAGTTAAAGCTACATTCAGTCTCAAATTCCTGCTAAACAAAACTTGGGCCATTGTTTCATGATCCTGAGAAACCTGAAAGGCAATAATCTAGTTTGTTAAAAAGCACACTGAAACATGATATTAAACTATTTTTTTCAATGGAAACAGTCGACTTACTGACATAGTTTTAAATTATGCAAAGGTGACTCCTTATACTGGGCTCAAAAAGGAATACTGCAGTTGAACATAGTAAACAAATGATGTGAACAAATATAAAATCTTTTTTTTTTCTTGCTACCATTTTTCTTTTAAAACCCAATAATTTATATGACAAATTACTTTTAGCAATTTATAAGTGTGAATAAAAGGAAAAGGTAAACATAGGCTAGACATTAACAACTGAATGGTATAAGAAAGAAACGAAAAAAATTTAGTTCTGTGACAAGCAATATAATATCATTTAAATGTGTCTACTTCTATATAATAAGGCAATACAATTATATTGTGAGAAGTTTAAAACAGAGCTAAATAAGATCAAAACTGGATACTCTCTACTGGCCTACAAAAACATTCAGTTTCATTCCCCAGAAATAATCACAGCTAATAGACTGGCATGTATCTTTCCAAACCATATTCTGACAAATAGGTACATATGATTATACTCTGAAAAAATAAAATAAAAAAAATCTACATTTTTTAAAGCCTTGCTTTTTCACTTATAATATATGAACAATTTCAACATCAAAACATAGATTGACCTCATTTTTAATAGCAAATTCTCCAGTCTTTATATATCATGGTTTGTTTAGATTGATTTTGGTTTTTACTAAGTATCAGTGAACATCCTGATGTATGTAAATATGTGCACTTTTATTATGATTAATTTTATAATTAGAACAGCTAGCAGGTTTGCCTGAATAAAACATCTACTAGGCAATTCTGAGAGCTCAGCAAACTGTGCCTAGATAATGGGCTTTGGTGATCCACTTTTTAGGCAAGATTTGTCTTTTTCCTTTAGTTTACACCTCTATTGGCCAACCTGTCATTCTGGATATTTACAGCAGCTTGTCAAGCATTTCACTAAATCTTATATATTGCTAGATTAGAGAAATGGAAGAAATCATTGATTCAAATTTGGTTAATCTAGAAAATTATCTGAGGGAATTACTATCACTCAAATAAGCCTGTATTCAATGGGTGGTAAATTATTATGATAGAAGAATAAGCCAAACAAATAGCCAATAATATCACAGGAATAAAACTAAACATGATTTAGAAAAATTTCTTACCTCGGAAAAAAACCCACTGTATTTAGATGATGGGCTTTCTGTCTGTGAAGTACCAGAGTCACTGGAGTTAACCAAATATGTTCGACTATCATGGTGTAATTTTTCAGGTAGGTGGCCTGCACAAGCCAGTTCATTTTCTTTATTTGCCATGTCACAGCCCCCACTTATAGGGGACTGTTTTTTTCTGTAACAAGGATTTGGAAAAGGATGCTGAACTTTCTTTCTGCGATAGATCACCTTTCGTAGTTTATCTGGGCTTTTCACAGCTTGTCCAACTGTTCTGTAATAAGAATTTGTTTTCTTAAGTGAAAAAAAATATAAAAACTTTTTAAGTTTTTAAACAGAGAGATTTAATAGGCCATGTTGTGTGACTGTATTCTAATAAAATTAGAAGTAATTAGAATTAAAAAAGTGTTAACTATTGGTTATAGAGGAAAATAAAAAAGAAGTTACAAATTACCTGGAAAACAATGAAAATAAAGACATAACTAGATACTTTTAAAATGAAATAGTAAAAGGCCATTTGGGAAAAAGAAAATTACAACTTTTTGAGATATCTACTCTTTCTCTGACAAAGTGATAAACTGCCAGTTTGAATATTTTTAACATAATTTTGATAAAGGAGAAGTATATTTAATTTGAGTATGACTGAACACAACAGAGCAAACCTTACATACTGTAGTCCTCAAATGTTTGGGTATCAGGATGCCTTGCACTCTTAAAAATTTTCAGGGCTTAAAAGAATTTTTTATGTGGGTAATATGTACTAATATTTATGGTATTAGAAACTAAAACTGGGAAAATTTAATTCATTTTAAAAATAATAGACTTATTACATATTGTTATGGTATGACTCTTAAAAGTCCCTCAGAGGCCCAGATACTAAAGGTTTGGTCAATAGGCTGTGGTGCTATTAGAAAGACGTAGAATCTTTACAAGGTGGAGGAGCCTGGTAGAAGAAAGGTCATTTGGAGAATGCCCTTGAAAGTGATATTGGGATCCTGGGTCCTTTCTCGCTTTTTCCCTTCCTAACTGCAACAAGACAAACAGTTACTTTTGCCACATGCTTCCCACCATGATGTACTGCTTTGCCACAAACCCAAAGGCAACAGGGCCAAATGACCATAACCTCTGAAATGGGAAGCCAAAACAAATCTCTCCACCTTATACCTTTTTTATTTCAGGTGTTTTTGCTGACCAACATTCATACTAACAGAATATTTTACCAACCCTTCTTCCTAAGCAAACCAAAACAACTATTTTATAAATCAAAAAACAAGTGACAACAATGTTTTACGTTTTTGCAAATCTTTAATATTTGGTTTAAGAGGAGACAGCTGTATTCTCATTTCTGCTTCTGCATTTAGTCTCTTATGATATCAAATGTCATGTCACCTCTAGAAAACTACCATACCATTTTCAGGAGAGTGAATATAAAGAAAAATTTGTTTTAGTATTGTTATAAAAATAGTTTTGACCTCACAAAGTCTCTGAAATGGCTTCAAGATCCCTAGGTTCTTGGATCACACTTTAAAAACCAGTGCTTTTGTAGAAAGGTCATTTTAGAGTTAGGCAGATCTAAAAATGTATGCCATGTTTACCACTTTTTGACCGATCCTGAACAAATCAGTTTTCTTATCTGACCTTAAGTTTTCTCACCATTATGGGTAATGATACTTATTGAGTAGAATGTTTGAAGGGAAAGGAGATAATATTGATATCTGTATTAGTGTAGCCTGGAACAAAGGAAGTGTTTAATAATAACTATTATAACAGAATATTTATTTTCCCCATATTTTCATTGTTACCCAGCTTTTGATATTTGCTGTTGCACACAAACTTTAAAAAAGTTCTTACCTATTTATATAAGCAGCCAACTGTTTTGGAGATTTCTTAACCTGAAAAAAAGAAAGTAAACAGTTGTGGCACATTAAATTCTTTAATAGGTTTATATGTCAACTTTATGACTGATGTCAACAAAATTAAAATTCAATAGATATATTTTTGAAGTTAAAAGCTTCTTCTGTCCTAACAATCATTAGGCACAAGCTGGATGCAGTGGTGCACATCAGTAATCCCAGTGACTTGGGAGACTGAGGCAGAAGGATCATAAGTTCAAAGCCAGCCTTGGCAACTTATTAGCAAGGCCATAAGCAATTTAGCGAGACCCTGTCTGAAAATATAAAAAGGGTAGGGGATGTGGCTCAGTAGTAAAGTGCTTCTGGGTTCAATCCTTAGCACCAAAAAAAAAAAAAAAAAAAAAAATTAGGTACAACATTGTAGTTAGGTATCCCTGACAAAGCAACACATCCATTTCCCTATTTTTCACACCACTAGTCACATATTATGCTTATAAGGGGCTTAATATGTGAGTTGAGGTTTAGTATGATTTAAAAGAAATTATATCAATACTAACAAACTTTGTAATGGTGAACAAAAGGAATCTCTGAGCTTCCTCTTTTTTTTAGAAAATATATTTTAGTTGTCGATGGACCTTTATTTTATTTATTTGTTTATATACAGTGCTAAGAATCAAACCCAGTGCCTCACCTATGCTAGGCAAGACTCTACCACTGAGCTACAACCATAGCCCTTTTATTTGTTCTTTATAGTTATACACAAGAGTAGAATGTATAATGAATTTTGACATATTATACATACATGGAGCATAACTTCCCATTCTTATGGTTGTACATGATGTGGAGTTATACTGGTCATGTACTCATATATGAATATAGGAGAGTTATGTCCAATTCTGAGCTTCCTCTTATACCAAAATATTAGAATTATAGCATATCAAAACAGTATACTTAACAAAAAGTTTTTAGAGCTTTAGGAATGTAATGGCTATACTTCAATAATTCTACTTAATTCTAGGATATTAAGCAAAATTATTACCCTCCCATTAGTTAAACAATTTAACCAGAACAATCTATAGACCTCACTATTTAAACTGACCTGCCCATTTCTTAGAAACCATGGACTTACCTCCTTCATGTTCTTATTGGTGAAATTAGAGATTTTTTTTCTAGGAAGACCAATGGAATGATCCTCAATATTATTAGAAAAGTTCCGTTTTTTAACATTGTGGGTTTCAGATGCCATAATCTCTTAAATACCTAAGGAAAATAATAGAAAATACAAAAAAGTAAAGAATATGATCATTTCTTGTTAACACATAAACATCAACAGCTTCACACTGTGTAAAAGAGGCATATGAGTTAAACAGAAGACTATCTTATACATTTTAAAACTTTAAACAAAAAGGAAACACAAGACAGGGTATTCCAGGAAATTTTTTCTGTTCTCATTTTTTTTCCCAGTTGCAATAATATTATATACTTTTGCCAAAGCAATAGTCAATCTCCCCATTTCCTATATCACTAGCCATTTTGAAGAAATCAGAATTTAGGTCCGTACATTTAAATGGTATTTATAATATCCAAAGGTATAGAAACCTAAAATTTTGGAGCCCCATGATTGTAAAATAAAAAGAGAAAACCGTTTGCAACCAGAGGAACCAAAATCAGATTACATACATAAAGTTGACCCCCCAAACAAGTAGACAATTTGACTTGCCCAATGCCTAATCTTTAATTTTTTTTTCTTGTATTCTTATAGCCTGTTCTCCAAAACTGTCCTTTTCTTTGGGGGGGGGGGGGGAATCAAGCCTCTATTATTTCCTGAATATCCCAAAGTGGGGGAAACAGATGTTATCACTACATTTATAAAAAGAGAAAATCAGTGATTTCCCTACTTGTACATTGGTTTCACACAGGAAATTTATTTTAGGTCATATCCTGAACATAAACTCTTCCCTAATTCTTTCTTTATATATTAAAAAGCATTCACTATATGCCAGGTCCTGGAGTTAATAGGATTATACTCAGAAATCCTGTTCTAAAGAATCATTTAGGAAGTTTTTTTGAAAACACACCTTATTGAGCCCTAATTTTAAAGACTCTACTCAGCAGATCTCTGGAGCAGAGCCTAAAGCTATAATTTTTAAAAAGCTCCATGGGTATTTCTGATGCACATTCCATATTTTCAAAAAATATGCACACACATCAAATTTTGCGAATAATTTTAGGTTATTGTAAGATATCCTGCAGCTAAAATAATGAACAGCCTTCCCACCTGTATCTCTAGGTTAAGAAACCTTAAGGGTAGTTTTTTAAAAAAATAAATAAATAATTCCAATAATACCATAAGCATTCTGACAGAAAGGACCTAGACAATCAGCAAAGCTGAAATGAGAGGACAAACAACATAAAGAGAAAATAGCATGCATAGAACTGAGAGGTATAAAGGAACATGGTTTATTTGGCAATCACTTAAATAGATACATGTGGCTGGGGCTTAGGCTGGAGGCCCATTGGAGCAGAGCGAGATATGAGGCTAGAGAAATAGGCAGCAGATAGACATAAAGAGTTTCTTGCACAATGCTAGCCTTTTTTTTTAATAAAAAAGGGTACTTTTGGGGCTGGGGTGGTGGCTCAGTGGTAGCGCGCTCGCCAAGCATACACGAGGCACTGGGTTCGATCCTCAGCACCAAATAAATGTAAAATAAAGATATTGTGTCCACCTAAAACTAAAAAATAAATATTAAGAAAAGGTACTTTTAAGTTAAGTATAATGGATTGAATACATATGATTACTTCTATCCTTTCCTAAAAGGCCATTAAAATAACAGTAGAGTTTTTTTTTTGTTTGTTTTTTTGTTTTTTTTTTAAAAGAGAGGGAGAGAGAGAGAGAGAGAGAGAGAGAGAATTTTAATATTTATTTTTTAGTTTTTGGTGGACACAACATCTTTGTTTGTATGTGGTGCTGAGGATCGAACCCGGGCCGCATGCATGCCAGGCCAGCGCGCTACCGCTTGAGCCACATCCCCAGCCCCATAGTAGAGGTTTTTTAAAGGCATAAAACCTATGAGGACAAAGAAAACATGAGATGAAAGCAACATTTACAAACTACAAAGCCAAAGTGGTCCTTGACTTGGCAGATCTGAGAAACCCAAATTCTAAATCTGTAAGAAAGGTGAAAAGCAGAATTCCTTAAAGCAGAATTGACAATAGAAGCAGACAGATTGAATATCTATTTAAGACACATTTGAGAAATCCAAATCTTGAATCAGCAATGAGGAAAGGTGAAAAGCAGAACCTCTCAAAGGGTTAGGAATTGGCAATATCTACTCAAGAAGTGAAGAAAAAGGTAACCCTAAAAAAAGTAGATGGATTGAATATTTAATGCATAGTTAGTTTCCTTCTCCATTCTAGAAAAAGACTAGAGTTTTATTCTACAGAAAATGTAAAACAGAGTCCTTGGGATGGGAAACACCAAGCATAAATATGGTTAAGAGGAACATATTCTGAATCAGAGGAATCAAGTAAAAGTTTACATGCTAAATGATCAATCATTTCACCTTCTTTCTATCACTGAAAAAAAAAGAGGGCAGAAGATGCTTTGGGAACTCTGACCAGCCCTACAGGAATGAACACACACACACACATACACACACTAAAAAAATTGTCATTATGGTGATCAGAGCTCCCAAAGAACTGCTCTACATCTTGATTATGGTGGTTGTTACCTGTGAAAATTAATAGAACCATACACTAAAGGAAGTAATTTTTTCTTTTCTTCTCTCTCTCTCCTTTTCTTTCTTTCTTCTTCTTCCTTTTTTTTTTTTGTTTTGGTGGCTCTGGAGATTGAAACCAAGGATGCTCTACCTCTGAGCCTTAGACCCTACAGCTCAGTGTAATTTTATTTTGAGACAGGGCCTCATGAAGTTGCCTCTGCTGGTTTCATACAAGTGATCCTCCTGCCTTAGACTCCTGAGTTGCTGGAATTTCAGGTCTGTGCCACTTCCTGTAGGGGTGAATTCAAGGATGAATTTTTATTTTGCATAAATTATACTTCAATAAACCTGACTTTAGAAACCCCTTCAAGAGAGAATATGAAAATATATCCATGAGATGGAAATGAGAAAAAACAAACCAACAAAATGATTGTTGGGAAATTAAAAACAATAATATAGTAGAAAAACTCAACAGAAGATGGAAGAGAAAGCCAAGGATCTCTCCTAGAACACAGGGCAAAAAGATTAAAAACAAACAAAATCAGAAGTTGGGTTTTAGGGATCCAATAAAGGAATATGATAAAGAGTAGAGAAAAAACAATGAGAAATTTTAAAAGAAAACTGCACAAGTTTGAGTGACATGAATTTCCCAATAAAAAAGGCACACTTTGAGTCATATAATGGAAGAAAAGGCACATCACTGTCAAATTTCAGAGCACCAGAAAAAGGTACAGAAGGTGAAAATCTATAACAAAATGAAAAATATGCCCTCAAATTCAAACCTGTTCATACATAAGTGATAAAGATAAGGAACATTGACTAAAATTCTCAGGCAACTTAAAATTTTACATATAGCCAAATTATCAATCAAATCTGAGGGATGAAAGAACATATCTGCAGATATTCAAAGCTGGAGAAAAAAAATTCTTCCCAGTAAGCAATAAAGGGTGGGGGACAACAACAAGAAATGGAGGTATAACAGGAGAGATGGAATCGACTTCCCAGGACAATCATAAAGGAAGATCTCAAGACAAAAAGGTTGTTCACCAGGAGTAGAGGACAACCAGTCTATATCAGAGCAGGTTAGGATTAGGAGAGTAGTCGCCACAAAACAACCATCATTAGAGATGGAGACAACTGGGAAAAGTCAAAAGAAAGCAGTACATATTTTTCAAGTGCTAAAAGAAAAAAAATGCAATCCAGAATTCTGTAGGCAGAGAAAATATTCTTCAGGAATGAAGGAGAAACCAAAGCACTCTAAGATGAAAGAAAATTAAGATGACTTCTCACCAGCAGACCGACCTTAAAAGAATGGTTAAAAGAAGTTCTATTTAGTTGAATAAAAACAAAAAGGAAATGATAAAATAATAAATATTAGAACATCAAGGAGGTAGAAAGAAAATGGTAACTGAAAAAATACAGGTAAATGCAACAGACTTCGGTTCTCAAGTTTTCTAAATTACTTTTGATGGCTGAAACAAAATTTATATGATGTGGTTCACAACATAAGCAGATAAAGTATTTAAGACAATATGGTGGAAGGAAAAAGGGACACTTTGCTCAAACTAGTAAAAGGACAAACACCAGTAAATTATGTTAAGATATGCATACATAAGGTACTATCTTATGAATTAATTGTATGATGTCTATAAGAAATTCACTTCAAATATGATTTAAACAGAAATTAAAAGGGAAGAAAAAAATGTATAGTGTAAATGTGAACTTCCAAAAGCAGAAGTGGCTATATTAATATCACATAAATATGTTAGAGAAAAGAAAATTACCAGAGACATAGAAAAAACTTATCGAATGACAAAAGGGCTTATCCATCAAGCAAGCATAGCAATGTTACATGTGCACCAAATAACGCAGGTGAAATATACATGAAACAGAAACAGGGCTGAAAGGAGAAAGAGACAAATTCACAATACTTGAGGACTTCAATGTCCCCTCTCACCAACTAATAGAACAACTGAAGAGAAATTCTCATCACATAAACCAACAGGATCACATCAACATTTATAGAATATTCCACCCAATACATACACATTATTTTCAAATGTGATAGGACAAATAAAATAGACTATATCCTGAGCTTTAAAACAAACCATAATAAATTTATTTCTGTGGAACATAGCTAAAATAGTTCTGAGGGAAATTATAGGACTAAAATGGATATAAGAGGAAATATCTGAAATCAATAATCTAGGCTCTTACCTAAAGAACCTTGATAAAAGAAGGGCAAAAGAACCATAGGCAAGCAGAAGGAAGGACACAGTAGGGAACAGAAATCAATAAAAGTGAAGAAAAATAATCAATGAAACATAGTTGGTTCATTGAAAAAAAAAAAAAGAAAACAAAAAAAACTAGCAAACCTCCAGGGAGACTGACAAAGAAAAGTAAGAGATATGAATTCCCAGTGTCAGGAATGGACAAAAGATGTTACTACAGGCTCTACAAATATTGAAAGGCAGTAAGAAAACACTAACTAGTCTACAAACATAAATTTGCTAAGTTAAAGGAAGAGGGTTAATTTCTATT